GAGACTTGGTTATGTTAAACCGTTACTGGGTTGAATTGTTTAGAGACTTGGGTCTCTTGAACTGTCACGGGGTTTGTTTGTTTAGAGACTTGATTCTATTGAAATGTGACGGGGCTAGGTTGTCTTGAAACTCGGTTTTGTTAAACAGTGATTGGGTTAGGTAGTTTTGAGACTTGATTTGTTGAACTGTTACTGTGTTAGGTAGTTGAGAGACTTTGGTTTGTAGACCTGTGACTGGGTTAGGTAGTTCTGAGACTTGGTTATGTTGAACAGTGACTGGGTTAGGTTGTTTAGAGACTTGGTTCTGTTGAACTGTCACGGGGTTAGATTGTTAAGAGACTTGATTATGTTGAAATGTAACGAGGCTAGGTTGTTTTGAAACTCGGTTATGTTAAACAGTTACTGGGTTAGGTAGTTTTGAGACTCGGTTATGTTGAACTGTGTTTGTGTTATGTAGCTGAAAGACTTGGTTATGTACGAGGGGTGATCAAAAAGTTCGCGAACTTTCTCTATATCTACAAAACCACAATTCAGATTAGAATAAAATTTGGTACACACATAGCCATACACAAGATTTATAAATAGCATATGCTGAATAAAGTTTTCCTCCTTGTTAGTGATGTCACAATATGAACATGACGTCACTATGTAGGTCACTTGTGACTAAAAATGGTTGTCTCAGTCGAACTCGTTCAACAAACGACTATACAATTTATTGTATATCTTATTGTATATCTTATAAATAATAATTTGTACACAGTTTATTAGTACAAATGACTTCCTATAAATTTAATCAATGATTGGATTGATCGTTTTAGTGAAGGAAGGCAAATAGTTAAATATGATACTTGTCATGTTGCCCATTAAAAGCAAGTTTGAAAAGATAAGTGTTTTTAATTAACCAATTTGCTATCAAAGACCTCCAATTTACACTTTGAAAAATAAAATATTTGAACAATAATATAATAATTAAGTACCTAATATATCGTTTACTTAAGATTTGAAACATATTAGATATGACAAAAAGAGGCATCCATTCTCTATCCACCTTGAATAAACGTCTCTCCCAGGACAGAAGATTTATCTTTATATGGTCGCCATGCTTATTTTTGGAAAGGATATTCTTATCCACCCATTCTGTTGCTGAGATTTGACCATTTCTGACAAATGAATTGTTCTTGTTATAAAACTTAACATACATGGAAAGAAATATAAAACCCTTATAAAATATTTTAGCTTTTGTGACAGAACGCTACGGAGGGGATCACGTGACCGCGAATACCACGTGTTTTGCGCATGCTCAGAACGATGGTTGATGTGCATTAAAATCGGAGAGGATAAATTTAAAATATAATCAACATTGAAACCAAATATTATTTCTTTTATGGAAGTTATTCAATTAGTTCGCGAACATTTTGATCACCCCTCGTAGAACTGTGACTGGGTTAGGTAGTTTTGAGACTTGGTTATGTTGAACAGTGAATGGGCTAGGTTGTTTAGGGACTTGGTTATATGGAACCATGACTGGATTACATTATTTAGAGACTTAACGAGGCCCGATCTACTTGATCTGCGCATATGTTTTAACGCAGCGTCGACATGGGCACGTCACAATACCCTTGACTGCCGTCATAATTGAACACATAATAACCTCACAATTAAAATGACGTCAAATTGCGCTAAAATGTTTCGCTGATCTTGCTTTCCTGGTAGCTTTATAGACTATGCATTGAGAGTTGGCATTTCTATTATTTTTTTTAATATTTGAATTAATAAACAACTTTGGAACCTAGTTATTTTTGAGGGATCAATTTTTTGGTACAGATTCATTAATTTTATCCTGTTTTATTTCAATTTGTGAGTTAAAAGAAAAACAAACACTGCAACTAAAAGTAAACGATTTTAGTCTTTCTCTTCGAACATGTTGAAGTGTTTATACACACTCTTTTTATTGCGGACTTAAATATGCATGGATTATCTTCAGTTTTTTAAAAAAATAAAATAAGTCTATAAATCATTTAAATTCAACCCCCGAAATATTTTATTTTTCTATATATTACATGATATTAGTAAAAAACGCAATTTTGTCGCCTCCCCCCCCCCCCCCCCCCTCCTCCCTCTACTCCTTTTTTCCACGTAAAACATTGTCGCGTGTTAAGAGAAAAATAAAGTATGGCGAGAAGATTATTTCATAATGTAAGAATAAATTATTTTTTAGAAATTAATACAGTATTGCAATCATTTGTTGGTGTTATGTAAACCCACTGCGACCTATAAAATACGTAGTTGGATAGAATAAATCCAAATTTTGTGTTTTGACATGCCCCCTTTTCACTGTAATGAAGGCTACCTCCAATTTTCTTTTCATTTTTTATAGAAGAATGAAAATTGCATGAAATATGTGAAAAACAAAGAATTTCATCATGTATTTTTTTAAATTTGTAAATTTCTTTGTTTATTGAAGAGTTTTAGTGTGTAATTGTGTATAAAAACACGAAAAATGGTCCATATCTTGACAGTGTCCCCATTTCACTACAATAAAGGCAAGGTAACACAATTTCATTCTAATTTTTCTAAACATAAAACATACAAGTATATTTCCAAGAATCAAAATTTTTCATCATTCCGTTTTCGTAATTTTCAAAACTAGATCGGGCCTCTTAAGTATGTTAAACGTGATCAGTGTTAGGTAGTTAAGAGACTTGTTTATGTTAAACCGTGACTTAGTTAAAAAGTTGAAAGATTTGATTATGTAGACTTGTGACTGAGATACGTTGTTTATACACTTGGTTATGTTAATCCTAGATGGGGTCAGGTTGTTTGTAAATTTTAAATTTATTAAACCATGGGCTTGGGTTAGGTTGTTTAGAGACTTGGTTCTGTTGAACTGTGACGGAGTTAGCTTGTTTTGAAACTCGGTTATGTTAAACAGTGACTGGGTTAGGTTGTTTTGATCGCAAGTGAGTTAACGATACACGTGGATGTTTCTATGCAAAATATTAATTAAATTACATAATTGTTCTACTACATCTGATGGAGAAAACGTTAAGACTTGTTTTCTAATATATTCTTGGTTCCCAGTACTCAATATACCACATCATATTATGACGTCACCAACCTCTACTATACAAGTTTATAAAAGAAACATCAACAAAATCGCTTCGGCGCAAGGGCATACCTTACTTTGTTTTACAGAAACAAGGTATAAAGAAAAAGACGTAGGATATTCTAAGGATTTAAGATATTGCTGCACAAATGTTGGCACTGCAATTGTTTAGTTACTAATCGTGTGGATTTAAGTTTAAAACAGGGTAAAAATTTGACAGTCCAGTGTAAGTTTTTAAAAAAAAAATTATCAATTGAGAAAGTGCATAGGATTTGTGCAGCAATTTTAATAATTTTAAGAATATTATCCTTAATATTATACATTGTCTATTTTAAATTAGATAGGATATGCCTTTGCGCCGACGTAGTTTTGTTGATGTGATTTATTACCTTGAATGGCAGAGAACAATAGTCATAATATGACGTCATAATGTGCGTTTGCATTAACAAACTGTGGGTACTAAGTGAGCATATGAAAATCAATTTGAACTTTCTCTGTACATAAAATAAAGAACTTAAGAATTTTATTAGCTCATTTGTATAGAAATAACCATATTTAGCCTTAACCCACTTACGATATTTGGTTATGTTGTGTTTGGAGACTTGGTTATGTTAAACCGTGACTTGGTTAGGTAGTTAAGAGACTTTGTAATATTGAACTGTGACTGGATTAGTTTGTTTAGAGACTTGGTTATGTTAAACCGTGAATGGGTTAGGTTGTTTAGAGTCTTGGTTATGTTAAAACGTGACTTGGTTCGGTTGTTTAGAGGCTTGGTTATGTTGAACTGTGACTGTGTTAGGTAGTTTAGAGACTTGGTTATGTTAAACCGTTGCTGTGTAGGTTGTTTAAAGACTTGGTTCTGTTGAACTGTGACTGGGTTAGGTTGTTTTGAAACTTGGTTCTGTTACACAGTGACTGGGTAGGTAGTTTTGAGACTTTGTTTTGTTGAACTGTGTCTGTGTTAGGTAGTTGAGAGATGTGGAATGTGGAAGAGTGACTGTGTTATGTTGTTTAGAGACCTGGTTGTGTTAAACTGTGACTGGATTATTTTGTTTAGAGACTTGGTTTTGTTGAACAGTGACTGGGTTACGTAGTTTTGAGACTTGGTCATGTTGAACTGTGACTGTGTTAGATTGTTTTATAGACTTGGTTATGTTAAACCGTGACTGGGTTGGGTAGTTTAGAGACTTGGTTATGTGGAACCGTGACTGCGTTAGGTAGTTGAGAGACTTTGTAATATTGAACAGTGATTGGATAAGGTTGTTCATAGACTTGGTTATGTGGAACAGTGACTGGGATATGGTGGTTAGTGGCTGGGTTACACTGTTCAGTGATTGGGTTCTGTCGAACCCTGACTGGCTTAATAGGTATTTTTGTGTATCGGTTTTTGTTTCCGATGAATGTTTTTTGTATTGACTGAGTTATGGTGAACATTTTTTTTAGATTATTATAACAGTGACTGGGTTATGTTGAACATCTATATCATGTTATATTGCTCGTTGAACGTTATTCATTTCTAGGACCTTTAATTCCTATTCTCCCAGGTTCACATTAAAAGATAATTACTTATCTTTATGAGTGATTCCTTAAAACTATCTTCTTTTTGTCTCGGAAGATTAACCTACTTAATCATGGTAATAATATTTTGCAGTGCGTACACACATTCTAAGTATAGTTCAAGTTCTACTTTGGCATAGCTTGTATATAGTATTGATATTGATAATGAAAACGCAGTCTATTAAGGAATCACTGTCTAATTTGGAGAGTATGCCAGGGCATCAACAATAGTGGGAAACATGGGATAATTTGTATAACGGGCGAAGCCCGTTACGCTAAAATTATCCCATGTTTCCCACTATTGTTGATGTCCCATAACAACTACATCCTGTAAATCATGGACACGCTAGGATACAACAACCAATGCAAAGTCCGGCAGTGTTCTCAATGTCAGGGGGACACGGAATTCTACTGTTACATGTGTCAACTTGACCTGTGTCTACAGTGTAAAGAGAGACATGTCACAAAGTCAGAAACTAAATACCATAAAATTGTGTTTTATATCACGCGCCACCGTAGCAAGAATCTTACTGTACAGTGTAAAGTCTGGCAGTGTTTTCAGTGTCAGGGGGACACAGAATTCTACTGTAACACGTGTAAACATGACCTGTGTCTACAGTGTAAAGAGAGACATGTTATTGATCTGGATACCATGTACCATGACGTTGTGATTTACCGTGACAAATATTACCACATTACAAAACAAGAAACTTGTGAAAGACATCCAGACATGTTTTATCAAAAGTACTGTCATTCCTGTAAACTTCCTATCTGTTTCCAATGTACAGAACATAGATATCACCAAATACTGGACATTAGAACAGCATACATAACAAACCGACAAAAACACAGATCAATCATTCAAAGCATCAGAAGTGAGACTCTCTATAACAGCAGCTATGTTCTGGCAGGAATCAGATCTAATTCAAAAACTTGTCACGCAGAAATCTCCATAGTTCAGCCAAAGAAGTTAATAAAAGCCCAGAAACTAAGGAACCTCATAGACACTGTCATGCATGACGCTAAAATCAAACACAAAAGATTTATTCAAAGTTTACAACAACAGAGGAGAAAAATGAACAGACATTTTGCCAACATAGAAACATTTGAACACAGATATGACAAGTTGGCAAACAAACCGCTAAAATTCCTCAAATTCTTAAAGAAAATCCCTGTACAGAGGTTAAAGGACACACCTAGTCTCACACAATACGCCCTGGTCTGCTTGAATGAATATATAAACACGGAGGATGTGACTGATTTACTGGGTGAAATCCAAATTATAGAGACAGGAAAAAGACAAGTAAGAAATGAATGTCTGCTGAAACCGATGTCTACACCAATATTGACCAAATCTGTCACGGTGTCAGGTGAAATATATCATATTTCCGGTTTGAAACCAGACGAGGTCTGGATCAGTGATGGTAAAAATCTTATATTGATAAACTCAGAGGGTGACAAACTACTTCATCTGACGGATGTAATTACTGTGTGGGGAAAACACACTGTAAACCTTACCGGAGATCTTATTTACATAGACAGGGATGGTAACATTATCAAACTCTCTAAAGATAACAGAACAAAGTTTACATTGATAGAGAAAACAGAACCATTGATATCACGGTGTATCTACTCCTCCCGCCTCAACGGCGATTTGCTGGTCGGAATGCGGTCCTACAACACAGGCATCATAACACGCTTTAATGACAAAGGACAACACAAACAGACTATACGGCACGACAACACAGGTCTGGGACTGTATTCTTATCCTATCTTCCTCACAGAGAACCGCAATGGAGATGTTATTGTGTCTTACTATCTCCGTCATGCTGTAGTGGTGACAGACAGTACTGGAAGAAGACACCGCTTCACCTACAAAGGACATCCATCAGGATCAGAACTATGGCCTTGCAGAATCTGTACTGACACTCTGTTACACATCATGGTGTGTGATTTTGCCACCAGCACAATACATATGATTGACAGGGACGGGCACTTCCTGTCACTGATACTGACACGACAACAAGGGATAAATGGACCAATGGGCCTGAGTTATGACGACAGAACTCATCTTCTCTGGGTTGGATTAGCCTACGGGGAAAAGAAAGTGTGTGTATACAGATACCTAGAGAGGCAGGGCTATCTACAGTATATAGCAAATCATAGTTAAATAGATTGGTGACATTACACATTCTGTACGGACACAGGGCAATCGGACAAGTGAATTAGATCTATAACGAACACATTCATACAAAAGATGTTTCTGAAAAAAAATTGTAATTACATGCAGTTACTTTTACAACCTAATATGAAATACAACAATAACTTAGTACCAGATAAAAGCTATATTTTTGACACATATCTACAAACTGTTTATTTTTTTCAACAGTATATGATTATATATAGGTGATAATTATATGGTAGCATATCCTTTAGTGACATTTGTTTAATCTTATATTGAAAGTAATTAAAAGTGGATATCGGGAAGAGGGAAGTTTTAAACTTAATGAAAAATATTTTTTTTAAAAAACATAGTTTTAATGAAATGGGGAAAATAAAGGTATAATTCCTCCCTCAACTTTAACAATTGTAACCCCCCTAAATATATTGCTAGAAGTTTTTGACTGCCCGAAAATATATATAAAAAAGTCTTTATGTTCAGGGTTCTCATCAGCTGTTTTACTTTGTTGGTCACGACACAGTAATATTTTCTCAGACACAGTGACGATTCAAATTTTATGCGTGCGACAGAGTAAAAATGAATGCTTACTCAGTAAGATCTGTGATAAGATAATTCAAGCATATATATTCTCTCTTAAGCAGGGACCTATGTCCGAAAACATCTTTGTGTGAAATTTTTAAAACTCTGGCATTAAAAACAATACCTTTGTATGCTTATTTTTACGTGGGAGCGCGTGCAAAACAGTGTGAAATCCTAAAGATAGATTATTTTCAGACATTATTTTTCTACTCCAAATATGAGCTAAAAAGAACCAAAAATGTCAAATCACATTCGAAATCAACAAGTATCTTTATATGTCTTGTACCTTTAAAATGAAGGCAAATACATTGTAAGTTATCTCGCATGAAAAATTATACAGGAGCACAATGTAATTATCACTCCATTTTTCTTGTCGTATTTTTTATAATTCCGACATGCATAACAGGCAAACTCTTTAAAAGTCTTTGTGTGAAAATGTTGTAATTCATATTTTTTGAAAAAATGATTCATCTTACTATTTTAACAAAGAAAAAAAAGTATACCTTTATGAAAACATAAATGAGAAATATGACGTTTTTTTCTTTTATTTTCGTTCTCTTGTGTCAAAAATATTGCCCTTTCTGCACTAAAAAGAAAAGTAAATAAGCACTGACAAACATCTGAATATAAAAATATTTTGCAAAAAACAAGTATTTTGTTTTTATTAGAAACAATTTATATGTTTTATTCTTTTCTTCTTAATTCTAATCATTCCGTTTCTTCCCCCCACCCATTTCCCCGTCAACAACCAGCACCTATAAAAAAAATTAGAATGACCTTATACAAAAAAATCTACATGTACTACAAATCAATAAGCAGAACAGTTTAATTGTTAATTCACCTGTATCGTCTATAGTCAGTAAATCATCCAAATATAAAACAGATGTGACAATCTCAGTGGTCTCAGTGGTTACACCTAGAAAGGTAGGACAGTACTTTGACAGTCCAGCTCCTCTGAATGACTCTGGAATAGGGGGTCGATATGGGTGTACAACAAGTTTGCTGCAAACAAGTTGAGTAATGCTAGACAATCCTAACTTTCAGAAGTTCGGGCAAAGCTGGCACGGTCTTTCTATTCAAATAGAGTTCAGTCCAAGGCCAAACTTAAAGAGAATCCTATTTATTTGACTCAAACACGGGATCCACAATATTTTGTAAAAACAAACATCCCTTGCAGAGAAACGTTATAGCAACATTCTCTTAAGTTAAATCTGTAGAAGGCACTGGACTGCTTGCAAAAGGTTATTGAGACAACAAAGAGTGTCCAATAAAACAATACAAGTCCATAAACAAGACAAATAGGAGCAGAGCAAACACGGAGGTGGGATCAGGTGCCATGGAGGAGTGAGCTTCTCCTGCAAACTGTTTAAACTCGCCGTGTGGTCTTTGTAAACTGGAATTATTTCAAAATGATTCGTGTATCATTTTTAATTGTTTTAACAGCCCCAAATAAAGTGAAAATGGTTGAAAAGATACATGATGTTTGCACATTATATATTTAAATTTTTCAAACGATTTTTTGAATTTTTAAAACTTAATCCAATCTGAAAAAGTGTTCCTCTTCAGACTTAGCCCTTAAAAACTTATTCATAAATATTTATATAATTTTTAACAATATGAAATTTCTTCATTGTTGTTGAATCGAAGATTATAAATTATAAAACCTGAAGAATTTCCCTAAATTTATTAATGCTGACAGCATATATTTACTTATTTTATGGTACAAGTAGATACCCGTACTTGCAACACAAACTGTAAGCCCTCTTGTTATAGATAAAGTCGGAGATAAAAATATAAAGTTGATGTGCAGTTTAGGGATAGAAGAAGATAACTTGTTAAATGACATACTTCAAGATCATTAGAATCGCAGTACAGTTAAGGCAACACATGAAAAAAAATATGGTAATGAGGTCATAATGAGGTCTGACGTCAAGACAGTTGCTCCGCCCTGATTGATCCATATAAGGGAATAGTGCTCAAAATAACTATTTACCGATATTTGCAAGACTTTGTGATAAACAGCAATATTTTCATGTTTAAATGGAAACTAATTAGTGATTTTCTCGTAAATATAATAGCATGTTTTTAAAATACTTCTCTTTTTAATATGTCGTTTGTCTGCATTCAGCTTCAGACAAGCGCTTGCACTCGATGACACGGAATGTTGTTTACATCTAAAAAGCGTGGCGACATCAGCTGAGATATGCAGTGGATTTAAATGCAATTACCACACAATCTTTAACGAAAATTGGGATAAAATAAGAGACAAGGCATTGCTTCTCCCTTTTACGAGAATATGAGGACATTATTTCGGAAAATGTCAGAAAACAGAGACGATTTGCACCAGCTCCGTAGATCCATCACTGTAATATTCCAGGCCAGGTATGTGTGCGCATATGTAGGTACATGTATAGATCTACAATATGTATACATGTTTTTATCAACATCAAAGAAAAACCCCGAGTGTGTGAATGTTCATTTAGATGTATTATTTATCACAGTCAGTGAAAAATTGTAATGCATTGCCTTGTGTGTACCCCCCTCCCTATACTAATTAAGCTGCACGCTTAATGACTTTTTAGAATTATTTAAATTTAACTGCACTAAATATGTACTGATTTTTTGTCAGCTAGCTCATTTACTTTGAGACAATATCTCTAAACAAGCAATGATCATGTCATACAAACATGCTACACCATTCAAAAAAATTATCAGTATCATTATATTGAAAACATAGAACCTCAACTGGTTGTAGTTTTCTAGAATTTCTAAATTAATGAAAAAAAACTTTTTTTTTTTTAGATTACATGTACATTAAAAATATTTGTATAATAATACTTTTATCATTGTAGCTGTCCAGAGTTTCAGGCTTAAAGAACATGAAGAATGAATAAATAAAAAATGTATCATTTTCCACAGTATATGTATACTTCTAATTAAAAGCATTTCACATTTATAAGGTATGCATGTGCTATATATATATTTTTTTTTCATTTTGGTAATGGTGAAACTCAGAATTTTGATTAGAAAATGTTTCTATCAATAATTGTTGTAAAAGTCAGAAGTTTCACTTTCCCAGAGAAGTTTTGTGACAACATTTTTTTGCCATTTACATGAATAACACAAGAGCGACAGCCTGGGTCCCTGTCCCTGTTACTGAGGTCCACGCAGTATAGATATAAGCGAGGCTAAACCGGATGCCATGGACAAACGACAGGTTACGCATGCGCAAGAATGCCAGAGATTTCGCCCCTTAGGCAACTTGCCCGTAGAATATTTCGCCCTATTCGAATTAAAATTTTATGTCATTCATTAGCAAATCACGCTTTTAAATCCGCATATCGTATTGATATATTCATTGGCGGATCCGAATTTCTCTCTTAATATATTTTCATATACAAACTAAACATTGGTTTTATTGCACAAGCATATTAAACTGTAGAAAGAAATTGCAGAATATAGATACATTTACTAGTAACTAAATAAACAACTTAAATAAGAAACGCAATTCAATGACTACAAAAGTTCTAGGATTTAAAAGGTAGGACAAGTTTTCACCGGCATTAGTTTTGTGCATCAAGGTTCTAAAAATATTTGTTATTTCAGCAATACTAATTACGTTTAACAGAGGGATGTAGCATCGGTTTTTAATGCGTGGGAAGGGGGGGGGGGGGTCCGACAAAAACATCTGCGTACTTCACTGCTGTGCTACACGTGTACCATCAGATCTACATTATTTTTCCCATGATAGATTTCTTCCGTAAAAATCCAGAATAGTTGTCAAATCCCAGATATTATGGATTACATGTATCAATAAAAAATAGCCCAATTTTTTAAACTGACAAAACTAAAGGCTAATTAATCGGAGAATAAAAAAATTAACAATTTTGCTTTGATACTACAATCAGTCATAAGTAGGCAGATTATTGTAGAAAATGTGAACAAACTTACATGAATATTCACCACAACTAGAAATTATCTTAAATTGAATTTCGGTTATAAACACATGCATATGGTCCACGTATTGCAGTCTTTTTTTTGTAAAGGGCAGTAAATTGTGCTTCGTATACCCTACATCACAAGGGCCAGGTGGAGTACAATGGATTCAGGGCAAATTTGCCTTGAACATAGCCCATTGTGACAATGGGAGAATCTTGTCAAGGCAGCTTCCGGTGGAGATGATCATTGTGATGTCGTATTTTTTACGCCGTCGATGTACTGTATCATTGTTACGTCGATATTTATTTCCATGGTTAACGGCAACGGCTCAAAAACTCACAATTTAGCGCGCATTGCTCTGATCAATCAAAGGAAAACATAGAATGTATTCCACCTGTCTTTCCTGCCTTGGCAAGGATAGGTCAGGGGACCAGGCAACAGAGAGTGGTGATATGAATTCAGAAAACCAC